CGATATGCGGTCGACAGACGGATGAAGAAAGATCGAGAAAGATGGTTCTGGGTCCTGCGAATTAATTTTGTAAACGTGATATGTGAGACGCTAATATTTGAGTACATTGCTTGAAGAGTCGTGCACGGACAAGGATAGTTTTTTGTAGGGTATTTCACCCTATGAAATTCCCCCCCGAAAGTATAAATTGGTGCTTTGACGAACTGTTATGTACGTACGCATAACGTGAACTGTTTCTGAAGCTAAATAAGTATTTAAATATGACGACTACTCAGATTCGTTTTACCTAATGCTGCTTTAAGATGTCCCGTCCATTGGTGGTGCAATCACGAAGGTAATATCTCCGTGTGAAAAATCTATTGGAAATATGTAATACAATTTTCCCCTAACACGCCTGAATTTTTAATTCAGTGACTCTCATGATACAATAAATGTTTTAGAATTAATTTAACTCATTGCCCATGAAGCTAACCAAAAAGTGCTATCATTTTACAGCAACTCGAGTATAAACCTTTACACAGATAGAGTATACCTAACACTAGTATGATCGCTCGTCATAAAGCATAGTAAACTAATAAATATTGTCGTCAGTGATTATCCAAAGTCTCATAATACACTTTTTATGCTTTTCATAACACCAATGATTTCATATAAAAAAATTTAAATATTCTTTCACTTTTCCGCGCGAAAAATCCAAGCTTCGAAGACATCGAAATACCAGACGTCGTACAAAACGAACATCGACGATACACACCCCGCATATCTAACTGAATCTCGGCCAAGTAGAACGAGAGCATATAGGATCCGCCATCTCCAAAGTGAAACAGCTACACGAGCAATTAGACGCCTAAGTGGCGTACACCCAATCAACTCCAGACAGAGAGGTCCGTCGAGTAGAGCTTTTACTTTCAGTTTTACACCCGTGATCGTCGCTCGTCGACGAAGGAAGCTGAAGCAGTGAACTTTTACAGCCGCTCTAAAACCGCGGCAGCGAGTCGCACCGTTACCTTCCCTCCCTGTTATCGTATCGACGATACCTCCTTTCACATCAGGAAACGGTCCGTGGGAACCGAACCACCGATATACTTAACGACTCGAGTAATCCACGGTTATCGTGAATTTCGTAATATACGGGGTTTGATAGGGGCAACAGGGCATTAACGTTTTACCGTCCACACCGCGATAGGTGTTGTCCTGGCAATTTCTCGAAGGTTGGGGTCGGTGGTGGTAACAGTTTCTCAAAGGGGAAGCTAGCACACAGGTAGAAAAAGGGGCGAACGTGTAACATTATTTTTCGCTTCAAGCCCCGCTTCTAGTTAACGGGCGAACTTCAGCCGCGTGCTTCTTGATTTTTTACAAGTCTATTCGCGGGCACGCTTTTTGTTAGAGCGAGGCAACCAACGGCCAGTGATAAATCGTTTCAACTTTGAAAAATATACAGACCGGCGAGAACGAAAGAGGAATGGAGCGGTAATGAACGGGGCCTCGTGAATGCTGAATGTTTGTAGCTTTCGGGACGAAGAAGAAAGTTCGCGAACGGCGAAACTTTACGAGCGTTCGGTCGTTGCTTGGGTTGTTATCTTCGAACGAAGAGAGACAGTACGGGGTTTTGGTTGTGTGAGAATTCGAAAAGTTATCGATGTTAGTGAGAGAAACAGGGGGAAAGGGACGGGCTAAGTGGTGCTTCTTTTTAGCCGCCATATATATAGAGGGGTTACGGTGGTGAACGTCAGATTTAAGTTATCTATGGAGGGAGAAACGCAAAAGAAAGTATCGATACGTTATGAATGTCAAATAATAAAGCCATTCTGAAGGTTTAGGCGAAATTATTACTGTATCGTAGAGTATGTTGAAGCAGGGTGCGTACGAACGATTATTTTAAATTTTGCCCTGAATATTTGTTTTCAGGTTGTCCTTTCAGGTGGTATGTATCCGTATCATGTTAAACACGCGCTGTATCCGGTTGAGATTTTGTGGTGGAAGTAAGAGCAGCGTAAAAATGAAAACGTCTACTTGTTCTTTCCATTCACGAAGCAGCTCGTCATGCGTGTGATTTCTTGACGTGCATGCTGGACAAAGTGAAAACCGCAGCGGAAGTTGTCTCGGAGCGTTTATTTAAGAACAACTCGTGGAACGATGTGAAAACAATTAGTGAAATAGAAACGGGAACACGCGAGAATGGTGTGCGCATAAGAATATTAAAATGCGAAGGTGAAACGAGGTCGTGGTTACATAAATGACGTATTACGTTTGGAATAATGGTACGATAATGATTGAGATGTATCACTGAATTTTTTGATATTTTCAAATTTAATTCATTCATAGATTGATGGAAATATCACATTCGAACGCTTTAGGAACATTATTTCCTTCATGTTCACTTCGTTCATTTCTCTGAATTGTCTGACAATAATTACATTTTGCTCGCAGTTAGAATACGTGTTAAAAATGGTACCTAAAATTCTCTCGCGACTGTGGACCGCGTTGGGATATACTACACACGTCAGTGATTTGAGTAAGTATCACAGTTCAATTTACTCTTAATATTATTCTAAGCAGTTTTAAATTATCACTGACAGTCATTTGAATTATCATTACCAACGTTAATTTACAATTATTGACTCACACCAAAAACGAAGCGAACGCGTCTACATAATATTAAACTGATGGCAAATAAATTGCTCTCTGAAGATATTAGCATTACGATTATTCCTGCAAGAATGACAAGTTACATACAGCTCCTTAAATTTTCTTAAAAACAAAAAATATAATTTGTGGAATTAAAATGATTACGACGCAAACGTCGATCGGTCACTTCCCACTAACCTAATGCACCCCGGCTAATCATCCCTTTCTTTTAGTTTCTTCTATTTTTATCGATTCTATCGACTAGTAAAACAATGAAAAACCCGTAAATGCATTCCAGGTACATTATTATGCAATGAATGTCCGAGATGATGAAGGGAAACTGCTAAAGTAACTGCGCTCCGGGACGCTCGTTGCATTCGCGTTCTAAGCTCTACTTAGGTTTCCCGCGGAGAAAAGTGGCAGGGGGAGAGTTGAGCCTCGTCGAAAAATTTTAAGAACTTTTGTAAGGCTTGTCGAAGGCCTTTTTCACCTGCCACGAACTTCGTTCGCTGTCCTGGCCGAACGAGGGGAAAGGGGGTGGCGAGGAGACGCTTCCAGAAACAGTAATTTTTCTTTTGAGACCGTACCACGATAGATCCCATCCCATCGGGTCTATACACGGTGAAGAGGGACTTAAGTGCGGCTTCGGTGGACGCCGCCACGTAAGAGCGGAAGTATGACAAATTGAAACGGTCATCGACACAAGCGATCTCCAATCATATCGGCCGCTATAAGGCGCCGTTCAACTTCCCGTTCAAGTGTGAAAACCAATGACACGAATTGCAACCTTGTCTATGATCGAGCACACTGAGGCAACAGTTGTGTTTATACGCATTCGTATTTGTACTTGTTGGATGCAAGAATGTTATTGGGACCCTTAGTCGTGTTTGCATAAAACGCGTAACTAGATTCTACGTTCTTTGTTACTTATGTCCTTCAAAATTAACGGAGCTATGGCAAATTTTCTAAATTGACGTTGACCGATTTACCCTAAATCGTATCCAGTATGATTGTAACTTCGAAGTATATTCAAAGAGACTGAAAAAGGCAATCACAGTTATAGTATAAGTTCTTGAATGAAGATGAAATAAATTGATTTGAGGAAGAGTACAATGTTATCTGAATTCTTCCTTTACTTGTACTAATAACGGTCTTTTGTAATCCCATTTGTTGACTTAATTATAGAGTGTTCACGTCTCCGCATCAGATAGCAATTTCACAAACTGTAGTAAATATTATCAGTTCTTTAAATGATGCATAGTTCTACCCTCTACATATAATAATTAATTTAATGATTAATTCCCCTGCATGCTCATTAAACAAAATCGATTCGTGTTGAATGATGGAGTTTTTCGACGGCTAGACGTTAGCCGTTGTTTTCTTTCCGTAATTTTATGATTTGTCATTTCCACTGACATGCGAAACGCATTGTATCACGTATGAAAAATACGCCGCAAAACAAAAACTGCGGAACGAGATTTATTGTAATAACAATTTTCAGGTCGGTGGAACGTGTTTCGATGGGGCGAGTCACGCGTGCAGGATGTTAATTCAATTAAAAGTATGAAACAAAACAGTAACGAGCGATGCGCCTGTCTGAAGTGATTAAAAACACTTTTGATTAATACCAGTCCGGCGGCCAATCAATGGGAATCCCGTTTGAACGGTGATGTACGAGTATCATTCCGCGTTCCCCATGGTTTTACATTAACGAAACAATTATCAATTGGTTGTTGTTGGCGAAAATGTTATAATACGGTTTCGCGTTGGTACTTCGCGCCGTATCGACTGTTTTGAACCAATTAATTGAAACATCTCCAATACACATCGATATATCAGTGTACGTCCAATGTAGTTCTATTTTTCACAACCGTTTTAAGTGTAATTCACTATCGACGAATTTGTAAATCTGTGAAACTTTCCAATGACAAATATGGAATAATTTAATTTATTATTAAACCAATTCTCTAGAATTACCTCGTTTTTCAGTGGAAACATTAACTTCATTTTTTACCAAATAAGCGATCACTAGACTTCGAACCATCGCACAAAATCATATCCACTTCGAATAATTTCCAAATAGAAAAATTGATTTTATCCTCTGATAATCTGGATGCCTTAAGAACAAAGTAAAAACAATTATTCAGTTCCATAGCAGTCTTTCATTATATCTCACATAACCGCGCACATTATAAATTCATGAAATCACAGTCTAGTGATCGCTAACTTTTCAGCAAATTCAATGTACTAAGCAATGTCTGAGAAAAATTTCTCGAGATCGTAACAATTCTTGAGTCCTTCAGGTATTACTTGGTCGGAAGATAGGAAACAGTTGTGGAAATACAGCACGAAAAAATGCAAAAGCTACTTACGCGGTGCCGTTATGTCGTCCGATGGAGATCAATCGGTAGATTTGTAGCTCGATTCGTTCGCCAGGGTCCGGCACGAATCTGTATGTACACCTCGAGGGCCCTTCAAGAGACGGCGATTTTATTTGTCCGAAACCACGATACGATTTAGTGAACAACTCCTTGCTGTCCAACGTTATATTGCACACTGAAACATATGAAAGGGAATCGGTGAAACGACCGTAAATTATTCGGGGTGGGGACGAACACCTAGGTTACTCGAAGGACGATGAAAAACCTATTGAAAGACAAAGCCATAAATGTACAGTATATGTTTTCTGTTCGAGGCTTTGAAGGACGGGCTGGTCGAAAGGAGTCCTATTGAATAACACGAGGATCATGTGTACACAACAAACGTTGAAGTATAGTTGCCTCGAAAATGAACTTGTGTTCGAAAATATTTCTGTATTGAAGGATTTAAGACGCTTCGATTAGGTATATTTAGGCGATTAAAAGTAAAATATATAAGTAATGATGTTTTTCATTGGAAAATATGTTGTATTGAAGCTATATTCTACTGGAAGATTTTATCAAATAGATATGATGCTTTGAATTATTTCAGTGTATTTATGTATAATTTGTTCTTATTTCTCCATTATTCATACATCAAAAATCCAAGAAGTAATGTATTTCAGTGCAATTTTCTATTTTCACAACATGGATGAGGTAATCATTTTGAAAAAAAAAGTTGCTTCGGTCACACCCGTTGAATTTGTGTGCCAATTAAAGAGCATCTATTGAAACTTGTTTAATACAATCGCCGCTGAAAGAATGCAATGCCTTCTCTTTTCTGGAGACTGAGTTATGTTCGGACGTAGATGTATTCTCTCTAAGAAGTACGAATTCGACCTTCACATCGAATATGTTTACGTATTATTGACGAAATCATTTATGGTGAATATCGAAAGTGCCATTAATGATCAGGAAAGTACAGATCTTTTTGTAAAGTCACATTTGCATACATTACATCATAATATTTTTTATGAAAGAAAACTTCGTCACATTAATTATGAAATTAATTAAGTTAACAATAACATCCTCAATCTAGCGCCTATACTAACTTGAAAATCTGAAGCTCTTCGATGATTCGGTTTGACCATGTGTATCTAATTAATTAATTAACCGATGAACAAAGCAATCGCACATTGAGCTTTCAAAATGTTTTGAAGAAAGATTCTTTTGTGAGAGTAAGAAAACATCTTTGGATGTATGCCTCTAGTGTTCGCAAGATATCCAGGTCACGCGAAAGCGCAACACCACTGAAGAAAAGCACTGCGTCGCTTATAACGATTTTTCTTGCTTAGAACGGCTCGTCGTTGAGACAAGACAGACCGTCTTTCTATACGAGGCGACGTGCAGACGCGACGGAGAACCTTGAGATTCCATTTCATATGGGGCCCGAATCGATTCTTAATTGCCTTTCATATGGCTTCTTATCAGAAACTTTTGTGATTATGTTGTGGCCTCAAAAAATACGTGGACCAGTGATGGTGTGACGTAAATCCAAAAAAGATAACTTTGAAAGTTTATCTTAGGGACTCTTAGTATTTAGAGACTGAGCCAATCATGCGAGTCAGGCAGCTCATTTATTTTTGAGACTCTTTTTCTATTTTCTTTTGATAATCAGAAAATAGTTACTGTTACCTGAACTCCAATCATTGCTCCGGACAGGTCATATTTTATGCTTTCAAGAAAGGTATATACTGCGACGGCACAAATTAGAAAGATCGTTGCGCTCACAGAAAATTAAACTAGCGGGGGCAATTTAAAATTTACTTGACAGAATGTTGTGAAAATGAAATGTTGAAGTTTCCTTAAGGAAAAAGTTGTATTTACAGAAACAATGTTGTATTATTTACAGAAAAAGAACTATGAAGAATAATGGAGGTTTGAATGATAAAAATAGGAAAGTTAGTGAAAAAGAAATGATTCAGCCTGGAGGATTCCGCTTGCGATTTTATACTTCGATGTTTCTACGCTTTTTATTGTCTGTTTAGTTTTTAGGCATGCAATAACAATTACCACATACACTTAACATGATATTCTACAACTATAACATTTTATAATGACATAATATAAAATTTCGAAATAGTTAATTTTTTACCTCACTCTAATGTAGGATTTCATTGCAGATTTAATGCAGATTTCATTGAAGCGAGTAATTTTATAGTCACTGGAAATGTTTTTTTTTTGTCAGTTAACTTCCTAAATTGGATTAACTAGCACCCTGTGTCAACCTTCTCAGTTTCACTAAAGAATGAATTAAGCTGACATACGATACACAGGAGAGTGCAGGTTTACCGCACACATAACGAAAGTACAAGTGACATGCCATTAAGGCTTCAACCATAATTAAGTGGCAACTGTACGTTTTATCCGAGCACACAAAGAAGAATCCAGAGGAAAGGAAGGTTTGATTGATGGAACGAAAGGGCAACAATGTCAGTAGTAATTAACGAAGAGGTGGGGTAGATGGATGGCAAGTAGAATGAACCTCCGACGTAATCGGTTATTAGAACGAAAAGGGTGAAAAGGTGTAAACATATCGGTGGCTCAATTTATACATAATTCTCGACCCCAGAAGTGTCTTCTATAAACATCCAGAAGAAATGTACTTTTATCTATTCGAACGTTTTGTTATTTTCATCGTTCAACATCGAATTATTCATCGTTTCTCGTGACAGATTTCATGTTCTCCTTCCGTCATTCCAGTCCCCTCCTCCTGGATCTGTTTTCAGGCCACCTGACCACTTCCGTCCGTGGAAGTTACTCAGTCATCCGCCTCCGGGGAAGCTCTAATTTCCACTTGTTCACGCGACACGGCCGTCGCCGACTGAGAAACGACACGGGACGGGGAGAAAGAGCGACTTAATGGTGCAAATCTTGTTTCTAACGACGATTCGGATTCAAAGGGATGGCGGTTGCCTTTTCGACGTGACGTAATTGCGTTCCACGTAGGATGGAAGTAAATACCCGAATTAGACGATTGGCCTGGTGAACGTGCACCGAAGGGTAGACGAGAAGCGGCACTCTCACTACTAGTTGGATTACTAACGAGTTTAACATTGAAAGGTTTAAACTGGATGTTGCAGTTTCCAGGTGGGAGGAAAAGGACCGGGGCTGGTGGAAGCTCGTTTGGCAGCCCCTCCTAGGGCATCCGTCGTGTGAAAGTTCCATTCGTTTCCTTGAATGCTGTACATGTGTGCGTGTGTGCGTGGAAGTAAAGAATCGACTTATCGAATCGTCAGATTGAGATTCAAACTTGAATGTATAAAAGACTGGTCTCGACTATACTTTCTCTTGTTCCCTCAGAATTTAATATCTCGCATACGTAATCTATTTGCGAGCACGCTTCAATAGTCGCAAAGGAACACTTAACTCCTCTTTCTCGGCGTTCGACGTACTTTTGCAGGATGATTATATATTGTCTCCACTTACTATTCATAAAATACTACATATATCATAGATGCTCAATAAGTTTAAAGATATGAAAAATTGAAGTTATGTACCGCGGGGATTGTGAGGCAGTATGTACATCACTTGTGAAATTGCATACAAAGTTATCTGATATTGAAAGATTTTGATTAAATTTTCAACTTCGAACTCATCGGCAGATTGCTCGAGGCAGTATATCATGTTCTATGTCGAAATCAAAGTTTGCATTAAACACTTACAAAAGCCAGATAATTAAGGCGACCCTGTCTTGACTGATCCTTCATTACTAAATTGAAGAAGACATAAGACTGGGAAAAAGTGGGAAGATGTTCACAGGAACGTGGATCTCAGAATCGAGTTCTGTTTGTTCGATCTGTGATTTTTCTGGGCTTCTACAGTAATAATCCATTAGTCAAATAAAAATGTACTCATTTTACTGAACCGAATATCGCTTAGTGATCTTCAAAAAAAGTTAACAAGAAAATCGGTTAACAACTACAGGAATTGCTTTGAAATTTTTCTTTCAAGATTATTCTAACTATAAAAGCCACTGTAAGTTGTTCGTTAGTGGTAATTTATCAACTGCATACGTCATCACATTCTTTCTCCCTAATAACACTAATTTTCGAGACGATGACTACACGCGACAGGTCATAGCTACATCAAGTATTTTAATATGACATTATGAATATTAAAATAAATGATGATGGAACGTAACGGTAATGCTTACTGTTGGCGCAGTGTTCCTCCAGGCCGCACTGGGCGCATCTGTCCGGCGACGCTGCGCCGCAGCTGCATCCTCCGGACGGCACGCAGCACGCGCAATCCTTGCTGGACGAATTAAAACTGCAGGGGCAGCCTGTCGTCGTTTGTGTCCAAAGATCCACTTGACCTGGAACGGAGCACGAAACGTTTAGGAAATGAGTTGAAACAGTCGCGTCTGAAGGAACTCATTAGAAGACTCGATGCAAGTGTTACGTAAAGAAATCGTGGTACAAAGCGTCAAGAGGTGTGTCTATTTAAAAATTCAGCGAAAAATTTTAGATGAATCCCATTTCCTTTGCCTGACCAAGCCAAGATTAATTTCACTGGCTTATCGGGTGTAGGACGATACTGTTTGAATAGATATAAATCAATCACCCCTATCTGGCAAGAAACTGTTCCCAATTTACTTGTTTGACCAAGTATACAGTTGTTTCTCCTGATTAATAAGAAAGATCTATCTATTTCGACTAGATACGATCAGGTTGAAATTATTTAGTGCACAATAGGATTATTCTATTTGTCCCGTCAGAGATAGATTAATACCGACCAGAAACAAGGTACTTTTCTTCGTCTGATCGAGAACAAGGATATTCTACCGATCTGGATAGAAACAGATTATCTCTATTCGTCTGATCACAGGCATGCTAATTCTACTGTTCAGTGTACTGTTTGACGCATTTCACTTGTTGAGTCCTATTACGCCTTACATCGCTTCTCTGATTAGATGTGATCCTCATTTCACTTTTCTATTCTAGTATACTCCCCTATTTAAACCCAGACCATTTTAAACTATTTTTTTTTTGGAGGAAAGATGAAATCTCTTTCGGCAATCACGCCAGTGCTGTTGCCCACTCGACTTCTTAAGTCCACTAAGGGAAGTGTCCAAACTTTAGGTCACCGATGTTAATGAAACTTTTAGGATACGTAGAAGGTTTCCACCACTTCACAAATCATCCCATGCATAGGGTTAGATACTCGAAAGTTTTTTAGGCATTTGCTCTTAAAGTTTTCAACGTGACTTAAGTGAAGCGGATGTAGCGTCGTAGTTATGGTTTATACGACTTTATGATTTCTACCGAGACGGCCAGTGTTCAATTACGTCCCAAATACCTCCAAAAATCTTTGAAAAGCACCAATGATTAATCGTGCAAGGTAATTCCTAGTTACGTCACACGAATAACTTCAAAAGCAAATAACTCAAAAACGTTTGAGTATCGGACCCTATATGAGGCTGATTTATAAACATAAAGAAGCGTACTACATATCCGAAATGTTTCATTAAAGTCTGCAACCTGAAGTTGAAAACCTCTCCTTGTAAAATCTGTTTGATTGCAATTATACGACTACACTTAAACTATAAATGAATAGCAAACATAACCGTCCGTTTATATTCACCATGGTATTTGTTTACACGTGTTCTATTGTGAAAAGCGTTGAGCAACTATCGCACAGTGAACTCAAACGACAGCTACCAGAACCAGTCATCCGGCGGACCGATCGAATTAAATTCTTCGCCGATCCATTGCGAAACCCGCAGAGTCCAATGTCAAACGGGCCTATTTAGTTTACAGTAGCACTCGATTCCCCTATATGGTGGTAAGCCAACTGGAAAACGCAATTCTTCGTGTATCCGGCCGCACGAGTAACATAGAGTATGGTGTATCGTGTTTTCCGCATATATCGATCCCGATGGAAATTGCCGTTCAAACGTTCCCGCCTATCCACGATCCTTTGTTCTTCCTGGCTTTCCCTGCCCCGATCCATTTTCCACCTAACATTTCCACCGTGACATTACGTTTTTTTTTTCTTCTTTCTTAGTCGTTTTCCCCTTCCGTCGTTCACGTCGCTACGCTGTCCACTTTTTATTTACATTCCCTCGTCCCTCTTACACCAACGTGTCCCAGGATACCGATAAATAGAAATGTGCAGTGAAAAACGAAACTGACGGCGGAACATAACTCCCGGACGGCCGATTGCTCATTGTTTTTCTGGTGCAATCGGGAAAACCCGTCCGTTTCTCTTACGAGCGTCCGCTGGACCCTTCGGTTCGTCGACTTCGTGGCTAATGCCTAGTCAAAAAAAAAGTTGACCGTTCATGAACCGTCGTTTTGTCCGAATGTTCAGTAACGGTTCTACGCGGTGTACTTGCGCTTACGAATTTTCATGTACACAGGCGAAACTGGACATTGTCAGTTATTTAGAAATGATTTACCGTAGTCTCGTATTTGCTGACAATGCAGAGTAAAATATGTAATTAACGTGTCAGCGATTAAACGAGTATTGTTGTGGTATTTATCCTCCGACGTGATCTGTAATCGGATTCGATAATACACACGCGTATTTCATAGCATTTTCCTATACCGAATACATATTCATATAGTCGACAAATCAAACTAATTGCGATAGATTGAATCGCTTTGTTCAAAGTGTAGTTGTTACATAAACGTAACAATATCCATGAAAATTATCATTTGGTACAACACGTTTCGGATACAGAGTACAAATACTTCGTGAAATGTACATTGCATCAAACAGATTTAGGAGTTTAAATAAGTCCTCGCGGACTAGTTTTGATGATGCTAAGAAGAATATGGCGAGAAGCAATTATTTAACTCTTTCGTTAGTAAGGTTAGCAAATCTGCTAACTATTTAACCATTTCCAGTCGGTGGCATGCGATGGGAAAGATCGAAGAGATTAACAAGAAAAAACTGCAAAACTTATTTGTATACCTGATAACTTCTTTCATGTTTCCCAACGAACGTCCAACGAACCGCAACGAATTAATCGGCCAAAAATCGGTATCGACACCCTCATTGCGGTGCATTACAAGCATTCAAACGTAGGGCAGCAGTTTCCCCGAGTCGGCAGGACGGCAAATCGACTCGAACAAATTGCAACGCCCAACAATAGGGCGCGTTATCGAGACCGCGGGATCGATCGAGTGGTCGGTAACGGAACGGCGTGCGGCGAAGGGAAAAAGTCCCAAACCGAGTCGTCGCCTAATAGAGATTTCCGATTGATTCTGCAAACGTGGAGATACAGGGTCGTGATTGATTGTCTTCTTCCATGCCGGTGGGATCATCTCGGGTGGGAGAAGCGGTCAACAGGACACTGCGAAGACCAGTTTCGGTGTAGAAAGATAAACGGCGGGAAGGCGAGCGGGAAAGAGAGGGAGGGACAAAGAGTTAGAAAAGATGTAGATCGGGGACAGAGGAGGAAAAAGTAGGATGGTGGTAGGAGGATGAGGTGGATCGTCGGAGAAAAGGACGCGGAGGAAGAAGACATAAATTCCGTGCCAGTGTAAAAAGGGCGTTAAGAGGAGAAGCCCCGGCACCCCCGATATGTCAATATCCCGAGGAAATACGGGGCGGTACTTGGCCAGAGGGGTAGTAAAAATAAAGCAAACTTTATTGCCGGTGCCGCCGCCACCACCACCACCACCGCCACCACCACCACCACTACCATCACCACCCCGACACTACTGGTGCTGCCTCTGGATATGTATTTCAGAAAAACGTCCATGTAGGCGAACGCTTTAGGGCCGTGAATGTGCTAGGAAGGTGGTTAAGAGGAATGTCGCCGGTGGGGCTTGGATTTCAAGGGATTTCACGGGGCAGGGGGTGGAGACGAGTGAGGAGAGGTGAAATAAAGGGAGGGCGGACACTTCCAATTGGATTCTTAATCCATCGATTCGGGCTAGATTACGGGGGTTTGTTTAACGTCGATGTGGAGAGTAAAAGAGGAAAGTATTTCCTGTTGGAGGAAGCTGGATTCGCGAGAGACGCGATACTTTTTGTTCGAACAAAATTTGAATAGGATAATGCTACGGTGAGCAGGTGTCTTTTAGGATTGAACATCAAAAGTCGGATAGTCGGACGGATAGAGGGAAAATGAAATTATAGATGGGAGGAGTCTAAAGTAAAAGAGTGCACAGACTGGCTATACTATACGATTTCTAGTGTTATTGTGTTCCCAGGGTCTCTTTCCCCTAACATTCACACCGTAACCGCTATTTCAGCTTGACTCACAGAACCATTACGGTCTGATCGCACCCCTGCGGCGCGCTTACCGTAACCCAAGCGGCCGAGACCCATGGATCATACAACGGAACCGCGTGCTTTTATGTGCTGAAGCTTATGGGAGTGCTATTTTAGCGTGGTAGTTTCTTTCTTCCCCCGGTAACGGGGATTTGTTGCCGTCGTCGTTTGTTTTATAGGTGACGTTCGTTCGCCCGTGATTTCCAATTTTGACGTGTTTTTTTTTTGTACCTTTACTCTACTGACATGGCGTTATTGACATTAGATTACTTATTATAAAAGTCTAAAGTGTGGTAATAAAAATGTAGAACACTTTCACAGGATAAATTCCACACGAGAAACTAAAACAAAAGTCAAGAATAACGAAATTATGTTCGAAGCTTTTTTTTCGAGTTATTAATTACGGATCAGCTTGCGATTGATTGTAATGTATTTTTGCTGGTAGTGGAAGCATGGTGTAGGTGTGATACTAGGTTCACAAGAATTGGGTAAGGTGTGCGTATTATTTTCTGGAATTCCTGAAAATTATTCACGGACGCAAGGCCTGACGATGTAAGCTCACAAGATATCTTATCAATACAATCTCAAACAATACAACGTTCAGAAAAATCGACTTCAAATCACCAAAATCATGAACCAATTCATACCAAACACGCCGTATTTTTCGCTTCTGTACCACTCTCTGAATCCCTTCCATCCATCCCTCATTCTCAAAAGAAAACTCGTCCCGTCTAAAGCGTGAAAACAGGATGAAACTTTCAGCGTGAATTATCAACGCGATACGAACGGACACGAGAGAAAGGTAGGAAAGGACCAGTAGTGAGGGAGCGGAAAAGATCCACTTAGCGTTCACTTTGGCCCGACGTTAAGTTCTAATGAACCGGACACGCCGGTCAATTTCAGTTAGCCTGCGTGCCAGGTAGATCCTGATATTCCGATCCGACAAGAGCGGCGGCAGGGCCGCGTAATGGCTGCCGATACAGTCCGGCGCGGTGCGGTCAACCCTTACGGAGGTGTCTAATAATTTTCGTTTAAACGCGGACCGGGTCCAGGGCTCTTTCGCGCAGCTGCTCTCCACGTCGTCGAAAG